TGGTATATTTTTGGACTTAAGTAAGGCCTTCGATACAGTAGATCACAGCATTCTATTTGCTAAAATTAAAAATTATGGTATTCGTGGCATAGCAAATGAATGGTTCCAATTTTGTTAGTCTTTGAAAAAATTTACTCGTGCTTATTTATTTCCAAATTGCAATGGAAATCATGTGATTACCTATACTAATTATTGTTATGTTTTGGTGTTTCTGTTATTTAGTTATTTATTTCATTTACTTTTTTATTGTATACATGTTTAAGAAGTTCTGTAATCTATTTCCTTAATAAGAATTTAAAATGTAAAATGTAAAACGCCTCTTTTCTGACCTTATATTTATTTTCAATCACTATATGGTGGTCACCCAACTAGTTTAGCTCTTTAGTTATTTTGGGTGACCAGCAACTGTGTGTATTTTTAATTTATTTCTCATTTAATTTGTAACTAAGATAAAATTTACACTAGTTCAAATAAACCAGTGTTGTTGTTGTTGTTGTTGTTGTTGCAAGATGGGCCCATCTCACCCGCTCGGGATTGCCCACGTTGATCCCGCGCATGAAAAAAAAAAAAAATTAGAACTACATTCATAATTCTTAGAAAATTTCGGCGACAGAAACTCAAAAATTGGCAGAAGATAGTCAAAACAAAGAAAACAGAAATGTATTTGTTGTGCCACAAATACAGTTGGCTTTCTTTCCTGGCTCTTGAAGTTAACAAGTCATTCTCAATACTTAATAAAGCAAAATTTATTTTAGTATATGATAAATCCCTTATTAACCAAGCTTGTTTGGTCAAGATGGCTGGATATTAGCTTTGTTCTTTTTTCGCATTTTTAATGCACCTCGACTTCGCTTCGGTCCATAAAAATTAAAAAAAAGAACTCGGCCAATATTCAGCCATCTTAACCTCACGATTGGGTAATAACGCATATTTTAATATCGCAAGGATACTTGCTATTTCTAATAGTATAGGACAAAAATGCTGACTTCATCAGCCACGAGACATGCCTTATCATCATCTTGTCATTCATTTCACATCTACTAACTTGGCTGAGAAAATAATTTCCTTCAATTTTGAAATGCATTAGCTTATCCATTGGGAGCTATTGTATAAATAGTGCTCTCTACTGCGAGGATCGTGCATCATGCGTATCTAATACTGCAGTTCAAAATATATAAACTTCATATATTCATTGTACCATTGGGAGATGTTGGGTCAAGTTAGTTCTCAGCCTCGTTTCCATGTTCAAATTAAGAGCGCGTGACAGAAAAGGCCTGCATTTCGTAACGCATACCACAATTATCTCCCGTTGATAAATAGGTCTTTCTCTACCACAATCAAGTGCCAGACCTTTGGTGATGACTGAACGAAACTCGTTTGTTTCGTTATCTGCTTAAATACAAGTGAGAATCCACTGGCGATTTTCAGAAAATTGACTGCACGTGAGGATAAGTAAGGACTTTAGACTGCAACATATTCGTGTAAGCATAATATTCGTTTTCGTGAATTACGTCATGGAAAATAGAGGGAAATACAAAAGGCTAAGGTGAATTAAGTAAAAACCATAATTTGCCATTACCTCGCATGAAAATATTATCAAAAGCAATAATTGAATGGTAACCCTACAACCAAGGATAATACTTGTGTTCAGTCAATTCAGAGTTAGTAGTTACTAACTCTGGTCAATTGTAAGCTTCTGGTACCGATCCCTCCTCGAAGATCGGTAGCAGAAGTTCCCTGGCACCCGTTTCCGCGTTAATTTGCTAAATCTAAAACAATATCGAGTTAATCATTAGGCAATTCATCTCAATTTTATTCTAAGTACTGTACCGATTAGTGTGATGTTGATGCAGACAGTCACAGCCACTGATGCCCATCTTCCATAAGCCTTCTCTCCGATGGCTGAGTACGGGTATCGTACGTGTCCCTTGTACTCGCTATACCTTTCACGCAGAGTCGCCCACGATCTCCCAAGAACCGTTCCACAGTAACCTGAGGCAAAACAACACAAAACGAGCAAACCGAATCCTGTCCAACCGGCTCCAACAATGGCAGCAGGAAGAGCCAAGACTCCACTCCCAGCCATCTCTCCGATGATGAAAACTGCGGCCGTGAATACGGTTAAACCCTTTTGCAACTCCTCAGGAGAATAGTGCTCACCTCTTTGTATAATTTCGTCATTACTTTCAAAGAGATCCTCTTTCGATGCACCATCTGGATGGTGGTCACCGTTTTGGATATCATTTGCTACAGGTGGGACAAGCATATCGCTCAATTCTAATTTTAAATGTTCCTTCGAATCGGCCGTTTGCAATGGGGAGAGAGTCACATGATAGAGAAACATGCATGACAGCGTCACTCATTTTCGTCACGCGATCTTCACGCGACACTTGGGGTCTGGGTCATATGTGACTACCCTCCCTACTTTATTTAAACACATTTCTATCCTTCATTTTACAGAGAGATATAACTATCTTGACCAAAGTATTACGACCCATCGATAAGGAGCTTCTGTTACAAGGCTATTTTAGCAAACTTGTCGTCAATAGGCGAATGTATGAATAAAGTGTCTGCGATGAAAAGAAAAGGTGTCAGCGAGTTCAGCACACAAGCAGCTTCTGATACTTCACAAGAGGCGGTTAGCGGTTTTTGGAAAAATGAAACCGCTGCTGCCAGGGTGTAAAGCATGCTATGATACTTGCTCTATACCCGCGTGTCGGTGTCCGTGCCATCAGGCCCTTTACTCCGCTGCTCCCTCTCGAGACTCTCCAGTGATCCTTCAAGAGCAGGCGGAAGTTCGAATTCCGCCTCCCGGTTAGCTCAATGGATAGAGCGCTGGACTGTTGTGCGGGAGTTCGAGGGTTCGAGCCCCGGCCGGACCAACACTCAGGGTCTTAAAATGATTGAGAAGAATTTGCTACCTTTCTATGACATCAAGAAATGGTTAGATATCCTAGTCTTCTCGGATAGGGACGAATAAATGGAGGTCCCGTCTCCTGCAGGGTTGGGGTAGGAGACGTTAATTTCCCACACACGAGATTACTGTGTGATGGATGTCCTCCCC